GCAGTGGCCACTCCCGGCCACTGCAACCTCGACCTGCTGGGCTCCGGCAATCCTTCCGCCCCAGCCTTCCAAATAGTTGGAACTACAGGTGCGCGCTACCACGCCCAGCGAATTGTTTTTTATTTATTGTAGAGATGAGGTCTCGCCAAGTTGCCCAGGTGGGTCTCGAACCCGCGGGCTCAGGCAATCCACTCACCTCGGCCTCCCAAAGCGCAGGATTACAGGCTGAGCCACTGACCCCGGCGACTTTGTTTTTTTTTTTTTTTTTGGAGACAGTCTCACTATGTCACACAGGCTGGAGTGCTGTGGCACGTTCACGGCCACCACAGCCTCAACCTCTGGGCTTAGGCGATCCTTCGGCCTCAGCCTTCTAAGTAGCTGGAACCACAGGTGTGCACCACCATGCCTGGCTATTTTATCTTATGTTATTTATTTTATTTTTTGGAGGTCTCTCCAAGTTGCCCAGGCTAGTCTCAAGCCCTTGGGCCCAGGCAGTTCGCTTGCCTCCACCTCCCAAGTTTGCATTTCTGACACTCATTCTTTGGTCTTTTGGGAAGAGCAATGCTGTAGGTTTTGTGCTTGTGATAATTCTTTTTTTTTTTTTTGAGTTGGAGTCTCACTCTGTTGTCCAGACTGGAGTGCAGTGGCATGCTCCTGGCCACCGAGCCTCGACTTACTGGGCTCCAGCGATCCTTCTGCCTCAGCCTTCCAAGTAGCCAGAACTACAGGCGTGCGCTGCCACTCCTGGCTAGTTTTTTTTTTTGATTTATTGTAGAGATGAGGTCTCGCCAAGTTGCCCTGCTGGGTCTCAAACCCACAGACTCAGGCAATCCACTCGCCTCAGCCTCCCAAAGTGCTGGGATTACAGGCTGAGCCATTGAGCCTGACTGTGATACTTCTTAACTTCTCTTGCCCTAAACAGATATGCTTCAGGAATAAGCCATTCTTCCTTTAAGAGGGACAGGAAATGTTTGTTGGTTTGCTGATGTGAGGATCACTTGGTGTCCTGACCAGGACTGTTGTGATTTAGATTGCTTTAGAACAGTATGCGTATTGATTCTGGTTCTGTTATTTCTCAGCAGAACTCCTTGTTGAGATTTGAGGAAGGAGGCTCTCTTTCCTGAGAGCCTAGCTGGAGAAGAGTGACGTTCAAGGCTTGAAGCCTGAGTGATTGCCCCAGGGACTGGATGATGGCTGCAGAGATGCCAAGAGTGACCACTCCCCTGAGCCCCTTGGTCCAGATGACTCAAGAAGAAGATAGACAGGAGGAGGAGGTCACCATGATCCTGGAGGATGACTCCTGGGTGCAGGAAGCTGTACTGCAGGAGGATGGTCCTGAGTCTGAGACCTTTCCTACAAGTGCTGGCAAAGGCAGCCCCCAGGAGGAGGTGGTGGCTGAGAGACCACAGGGAGCACTAGGCCGCCTCCGAGAACTTTGTCGGCGCTGGCTGAGGCCAGAGGTGCACACCAAGGAGCAGATGTTGACCATGCTGCCAAGGGAAATTCAAGCATGGCTGCAAGAGCATCGGCCGGAAAGCAGTGAGGAGGCAGTGGCCCTGGTGGAAGACTTGACCCAGACTCTTCGGGACAGTGGTGAGACACAGAACCTCATAGGGAGAGAGTGGGACCTCCCTTCCAAGGTGGAAGAGTATGGTGTTTGCAGAGAAGGAAAAGGTAGTCTCCAGGACAGATTGGGGACAGCGCCATCCCTCTACTCTGTCTGCAGGCAGCCAGCATGTCCATCACCCTTCGAAGGTTCCAGGTGTACAGTGGTAGCTCCAGAATATTGGCTGAGAGGACTATTCTGGAGCTACATTTGCATAATAAGCAGTTTTTGCTTATATGTTTATTTGGAGTGGCTGGGAAGTGGGTAGCTGGAGGTTATGGGGGGAGGAGCTGAAGACCTCCATAATCCCTGCCCCTTGGCACCTGGTTATGGAGTAAACATCCAAATAGTTCCCACATTAGAAGAACCAGATAATTGGATTTTGTTCAAAATGATTCTTTTTATGAAACCAAGATAAATGACAAGTAGACTAGCTAATAAGTGGGGACTTTCTGTAGTGTGATGTCATCCTGGGCTCATAAAAGAGTAATTCTAAACTTGAGCTCTTTGCAACAGTTTCTCTCTCTCCTATGTTACTACTAAACTTCGGGATTCTGGCTTTGGAATCCTGGCATTCCATTTAACTACTCTGTCTCCATCCTGGTTTCCGGTTGTAAAACGGACTCACTTGATGACCAAATATTTACTTCAGGTCTACCTGTGTCCCTAGGACTATTTCAAAACACACGAGACATAGCTGCTTTTGTGCTGATGAGAACCACAGAATTTCAGAGAAAGGAGCATGGAGCAAGATCAGGTCAGAGAAGGCTTCATGGCGGCCACGAAACCTGAGCAGGAGGTTGCAGTGGAGAGGAGAGTTTGGAAAGGTGCTGGTCAGCGGGTGGAGGTGGCAGCTGAGAGGAGCTGTGCTGAGCAGAGGCTTGGAAGGGAAGGGCAGCGTTTCTTTCTTCAGATGACAAGAGGGAGGGCTGTTTGGAGTGGAAAGTGTGTTTTTAGGAAGTGGTAAGGGAGGGGAAGGCTTGGACTGGATGTCATTGGCCTCAGCAGGTTCTTGAACTAGGGCCCTAGGGGCATGGCAGGAAGCTGAGTTTGGCAACAGGATGTAGGTGTGATCAGAGTAAGCAGAACCAGAGGTAGGAGAGCAGCCAGGAAGCTGTGTGTTGGGAGTCAGCACCAGGTTGGACACCTGTGAGAAAGAACCAATAGTATGCCTAGCATTTCTTGAGCTCTTTCTGCGGGCCAGGAAACGTGCTTGGCATGTAAAACTCCTGTCAACTTCGCCACCTTGGAAGATAAGCAGAATTATCATCACCAGAGAAGTGGCATGACTCTCTTAAGGTCATGCAGCTAGTACAAGGCAGAACCAAGATTCAAACTTGGCTAGGTGCGATGGCTCATGCCCATAATTCCAGCACTTTGAGAGGCCAAGGCAGGAGGATTGCTTGAACCCAGGAGTTCAAGACCAGCCTAGGCAACATAGCAAGACCTAATCTCCACAAAAAACAAACAAGAAATGAGCCAGGCATGGTGGCATGTGCCTATAGTCCCAGCTACTCCAGAGGCTGAGGCAGAAGGATCACCTAAGCCCAGGAAGTTGAGGCTGTGGTGAGCCATGATAGCACCGCTGCACTCCAGCCTGGATAACAGAGTGAGACCCAGACTCAAAAAAAAAAAAAAAAAAAATTGACTATGCACAGTGGCTCACATCTGTAATCCCAGCACTTTGGGAGGCCAAGGCGAGAGGATTTCCTGAGTCCAGGGCTTCAAGACCAGCCTGGACAATTTGGTAAGACCTTGTCTCTACAACAAATCAAAAAATTAGCTAGGTGTGGTGGTGCATGCCTGTGATTCCAGCCACTTGCAAGGCTGAGGCAGAAGGATCACCTGAGCCCAGCAGGTCGAGGCTGTGGTTGCTGTGAGCATGCCACTGCACTCCAGCCTGGGCAACAAAGTGAGACTCTGACTCAAAAAAAAAAATTCCAGATTTTTGGGTAGAGACATGGCCCATGTTCTTAAGCATTTCATCATATGTATGATGCTAAGTGACATTTCCTAGTCGGGTGCTGAAAGGAGGGGATGCCGATGAGATTAAGACAAAGTGACTAACTTTGGGGCATCTAGCCCGGAAGATTCAGGAAACAGGAAGGGAAGAGATGAAAAGAAAAGGGAAGGTGGTTTAGGGCAGAAGTTATGACAGCTGCAGGAACTGGGACATATGAATAAAGCTGTCCTCTAGAGAAAGGGACTGACATTGAGGGCCTACTGTAACTCACTGGACACAGCACCTTAAGAGTCCTGTGAGGTGGGTGGGATTGTCATTTCACAGATAGGAAATGGAAGTTTAGCAAGGTCACCCAGCTATTCACTGGTGGAGCCAGGATGCAAACTCAGGTCTGTTTGTTTCCACATGTGTTGGTAGATCCTGAGGTGTTTTTAGTTGGAATCTCACTCTGTCACCAGACTGGAGTGCAGTGGCACCCTCCTGGCCTCCGCAGCCTCGACCTGATGGGCTCTGGCGATCCTTCCGCCTCAGTCTTCCAAGTAGCTGGAACTATAGGCACATGCTACCACACCCAGCTAATTTTTGATTTATTGTAGAGATGAGGTCTCCCAAGTTGCCCAGGTGGGTCTTGAACCCGTGGACTCGGGCAATCCACTTACCTCGGCCTCCCAAAGTGCTGGGGTTACAGGTTGAGCCACCAAGCCCAGCCGGGATCCTGAGTTTTATTGGAAGCAAAGTATCTGATTTTCTTTGGCCCTGAAAAATAAGTTTTAATTTTATTCCTTTCGTTTTTTTAAAAAAACTAACTTTTCAGCCTATTTCAAAACTGTTGACTTGCACTCCTGGTGGATGTGACAAGTTGGTAATGAACTTCAGGATCTTCAGTCAGGTACTATGGAAGAGACAGAGTGGTTGAGGACTGAGCAGAAGCCTCTAGGGTTGTTATTTAGTTGAGGAGGCATGGATCTGACAGTCAGTGTTCCCCGGGTGTTTAAGATGAGTACAGCCCTTCCTGCCTGGCTTGCTGCAGGGGCTTTGTGCCTTTCATCTGTCCCTAGACATCCAAGATGGAGACAGTCCCAGATGAGTGGGTTTGTCAGTCCCCTGACTTCTGCCTTTGCCATTGTCTTTGTTGAACAGATTCTCTTGACCTTTCTCATGATTGCTCACAGGAATCTCTGCTTGTCTTCATCCCTTCTCAAACATTGACTCAGCATAAGACCAGTTGATCTCTACTCTGTCCGTCATGGGATCTGTGGACACATTTATCCAGCACAGGGCATTCAAGGCCTGTGTAGATGGTGGTGGTTTAATATTTGACAATGGGAACCTCTAAGTGCTCACAATTTAAGTATCTTGTAATTCAGATACAATATCAGACCAGTACTAACTCATTTGTGATCACTGACGTGCATTTACGTCATTCTAAATTCTGTTCCTGGTTGCTGTTGATGTGAATCTATGTCTTTGCTGAATGTGCAACGTTGTCATATGCATGTGTTATTATATTTTGGTTGAAAATGAATAGTGAGGCAAGGAGAGAAAGTTAATTGAAATAATTATCTGATATCAACTGCGCACTGTAGTTATTGATTTATGTAGTTGGTAAAAATTGCAAGTTGGTCATTATTTTGTTGTGACTAGTGTTGTATACTCTTTTTTCTTTTTTGTTTTTATTTTATTTATTTTTATTTATTTTTATTTTTTGAGTTGGAGTCTCACTCTGTCACCCAGACTGGAGTGCAGTGGCCGCTCCCGGCCACCGCAGCCTCAACCTGCTGGGCTCCGGCGATCCTTCCGCCTCAGCCTTCCAAGTCGCTGGAACTACAGGCACACGCTACCACGCCCGGCTACTTTTTGATTTATTGTAGAGATGAGGTCTCGCCAAGTTGCCCAGGCAGGTCTCGAACCCGCGGGCTCAGGCAATCCACTCACCTCAGCCTTCCAAAGTGCTGGGATTACAGGCTGAGCCACCGAACCCAGCTTCTTTTTTGTTTTTAGAGATGAGGTCTCGTCAAGTTTCCCAGGCTGGTCTAGAATCCCTGAACTCAGGCAGTCCTCTCGCCTCCACCTCCCAAAATTCTGGGATTACAGGCATGAGCCGCTGTGCCTGGCCAATACTTACATTTTGATATTTTGCGGCTTTCATATTTCAACATTAAAAACAATTTACCATAATTATGGAAAATGAAGAAACATATGCTGATGAGATTTCTGAGGTGAATTCATAGAAGGTGAATCCTGTGAACTTAATAGTGATAGTGACACAGATAGTGATATAATGATGCAATGTAAATGAATAAAAATATATATATAATATGTATTCGGTTTATAATCCAAAAAAAAAGTACAGATTGCTAGTCAGAGTGGTGTCTGAGGTGAATATTGGATATGTCTGCAATTTTCAGCTGTATTGTGAAAAAGGTGACAATTTAGAAAAGACCAAGACCATTTCACTTGTGCTTAACAACAGAAGTTTGTGGCAACCAACTTCAGATTTTTCTTATTTTCACGTGCAATTAGTATTAGGAAAGTGAAAAATTTGCCAATCTCGAATGTGTTAAGTTAAAGTGGCAAAGTTCACCTCTATTTCTGAGTGTTTTCCGAGGATGTGTTAAGCTCCATGCCCAGCCCTAACCTGGGCTCTTGATATTTCTCATCGGAGTTCTTACAGCCATCTCCAAACACTGAGCCTGCCTTCAACCTTTGCCACTGACTACAGCTCTTCCACTCCTGCCAGAGTGGCACTCTCCCACCTAATAACCTTCATGCATGTTCCAGTGTCTGCCAGATCAGGTGTGACCTCCTTGTTCTGCTTGGAACCCACAGCCCTATGAGACCTGGCCCAGACCCTCTGCAGTCTGGTCCCCACCCTGACCCCCTTGCTCTAGCCCCTACTCCGTTCAGACCAGTTCTTGCTGTTTCTCAAACACAGCCTATACTTCCTAGCATTCATCTTTTGCTCCTGAATTTTTGGCTTGGGGTGGCCTTGTCCCATCTTTGTGTGATAAAATCCCAGTTATC